TCTCTCTCTCTCTCTCTCTCTCTCTCTCTCTCTCTCTCTCTCTCTCTCTCTCGTAGTGTGCAGATACTGAGAAGTCAGGTAGCGAGAAGGTGAGGGAGAGATGGGTGACTTAGAAGAGGAAGAAGAAGAACTCTCTCTCTGTCAGTCCGGTACTAACCTGTGAAGGTGGCGCCTTGTTGGAGGTACATCGAAGACGAAGCTGGAGCTATGGCGCCACAGGTACTAACGCTACTCTCCCTGGCCTCCGCCAACTCTCTCTCTCTCTCTACAACACTACTCTAGCTCCTAATAACGCCCAGCATTGAAGACTACCCCTAACGCTACTATTACTACTGCAGTGTTCCTCCAGAGTGCTGCTACCGAATCCTGAAGACTGCCTCCTGCCTCCTGCACGTGAAGGGCCCGTGAACTGCCAGGGAAGTCCGTGTGACTACCTGCCTAAATGTCTGGCGGACCAGTGCTGGTCCGGCTAGGAGGCTGCTCTTGCCCATGCCGAAACGTTGTCGGGCGGCTGTCTACCAGCCGCGAACTCCTTTTCACCAAACAAAAGAAACAACTTTGTAACTTTTTTGTTTTTTTTCATGCTTTTTTGTGTGATTGCGTGTGACTATGGGGTTTTGAGAGAAACTCGGGGTTTGTTACTCTCCATACTAACCCCTGGGACAGCGAGAGTGACGATCTGGGGCGATGGTCTCAAGCGGGGTCGGGAGCGGGAGAGTGGGGGACTTTGGACAAAGACCGCAGGAGCCTTGGGGACTAAGAAGTCGAGAAGGGACATGTACCTTGGGTGTCGGTGGTCGTTGAGCCACCGCTGATGAACATTGGGACTACGGGTACGGGACTACGGGTACGGGACTACGAGGTGCAGAAAGGTGCGGATAATCGCTGTACCAGGCCTCTCCCTGAACGACGCTGTATGATGGGCTCCTTGGTCACTATGGGGGTGGGCTAGGCACGGTGACCGACCAAGCGTGTACGCGTCAAGACGTCGGAGATGGTATGGTGCAAGGGCCCGGAGGCGGGTCGACTCAGACGGCCGACCTACGGTTTAATCCAGGTCGGACTAGCGAGGGGTGCGCATCTCACGTTCCAATGGAAGCAAGCGGTCATAGGGGGAGGAGCCTAAGGCGATATGGGAAATGGGCACGAGCGGTGACCGACTACAACGAGAAGGAAATGCCAAGGTCCAGGGTGAGCGAGGGGGATCGAGCAAACTGGAAGGCCGATCCCTGCACATGAAATGTGAGCACGATTCCCCCTTGACCGTGCTCCACTCGAACTACGGGGCATGATGAGCTATCGCGAAGAAAGGAAGGCTGGCCGACTCGTGGCCGCCTACCAAAAACCTAAGAGGGGAAGGGGGTACCCAACGAAGAGGGGGGGGGATCAGGAGGAGTGGCGTGCGGCTGGATAATTGGAATTCATCACACCACTCTCTCTCAACAATAGTAGTCGACCACAGAGAGGAGAAATGTACAACAAGAATCAGGGGCTGGTAGAGGATTCGAGCTAATGAAGCTCGTGTGCCCGGAGGTACCTGGTAGCTGCCAGGGAAATGATCCACGACTGTCAACCAAGTAATAGGGTGAAGGGCGAAGCGATTTGGCTTACCGGTGAGACAATGAGGTTGAGTTCTTGGAGTGCTCCTTTTGACCGGCGGGGAGCGGGGAGAACCAAGGCCGGGAGAAGGGAAGGCGAACGGACGGGGCGGCAGGCCAAGGACGAAGGTAGGAAGCAAAGAGGATCGAGGAAACCTGCACAAGAGAGAGAGACTTTGATCCGAAAGATAGCGAAAGTTGGAATGTGATTGGGGAGGGGGCAGCGAGGCAGACTAGAATGGCGGAGGCAGGAATTTTGCGAAACTTTTGAATTTTTACAGTGGGGATGACGTAGGCGAAGGAGAAAAGCGGGGGCGGGAGAAGGAGAAGGAGAACTGTGTGAGCAAAGTCGGTGAAGGGGAGGACGCTGTTGGGACGAAAGAAGCAGGCGGGAAATTCAAAAGTTTAAAGACTTTCGAAGTTTTGGTAACTTCGGGGGACGAGAGCAGCGGAAGCGGGAAAAAGAGAGGAAAATTGTACGGGCGGAGGTGGATCCGATCCTAAGGTTAGCAAAAAGAAGGATCTGATTGGGGGGCAAGAAGCAGGGCGAGCAGAAAGGGGGGATGCCGGGAAAGTAAAAGTCTCCCGAAAACCTCAAACTCGGGTAGCCCGGAAGATTAAGCCGGGCTCGCGATGCGAGAAGGGGGGAGGAAATGTATAAAAGAGAGAGAGATCGACCAGAACGGGAAGGTTTTATTTTGTTGCGCTCGAGTGTGGAGCACGTACGTCGCGCACGGGTTGGCGCTTGGAGTGGCTACGGCAAGGTCCGAGACCGAGGGCCAGTGCGGGGGATCGCTACCCACGGAGGGTTCCTTGGCGGAGTGCGAGGCATAGGGACTTGGGGGCAGCATCTCATCAGACACTGGAAGAGGCAGGTCGGAGAGGCGCTCGCAGGAGCACTCGCGGGGAATGCTCGGACCGCACCGGGGGTCGTCTGTCGTGCTCGATACCAAGCTGCCACCGGACGAGTGAAAGCGCACAAAGAGGGATGACGAGGCCTCGAGGTCGCGGCCGACGAGCAAGAGTGTACGAAGAAGGATCACGAGGTCGCGTACGGGAGCCGCAAGAGCAGTCGGCGAAGGGTCAAGAGGTCGAGCAAGGGAGGTCACAACCGGCACGTCGAGGGCGTTCAGTGCTCGGGGAGTTTGCTGCCTGCAACCGCGAGGGAGCTCGGTATCAGTTCGGTGGGGGATCGCAAATCAGCGTGCTGGGAGCTCGCTGCTGGCAGCTGCGAGGGAGCTCGGTGTCAGTTCGGTGAGGGATCACAAATCATCTGCGAGGGAGCTCGGTGTCAGTTTGGTGAGGGATCACAAATCAGCTGCGAGGGAGCTCGGTATCAGTTCGATGGGGGATCGCAAATCAGCGCGCAGGGAGCTCGCTGCTGACAACTGCAAGGGAGCTCGGTATCAGTTCGGTGAGGGGTCGCAAATCAGTGCTCGGGGTGTTCACTGCCGGCAACCGTGTGAGAACTCGGTAACAGTCCGGTGAGGGATCGCAAATTCGCACTTAGGCGCTAAGCGCCGGCGCCAGCGAAGGCGTTCGGCGAGAGGATTGGCTCTCGGGCCGTGACTCGGCCTTTTCCTTCGTCGGCCGTTGGGGTCGAAAAGCTGTTTGGCTATTTGGCTCCGGGACAAACTGGAAAGAGAGAGAGAGAGAGAGAGAGAGAGAGAGAGAGAGAGAGAGAGAGAGAGAGAGAGAGAGAGAGAGAGAGAGAGAGAG